AAGAGGGTGACAACGTGACAGAATTGATGTGTGTGTAAGTAGTGAGTAATTGAACTACAGTCACAGTGTATTGTTGAAGTTAACATTTGTTCGTTATAGTGTTTGTTTTAGCGCGAATATTGAAATTAAGTGTATCGTAAAGTTATATTCGGAAAGAATAAACCAGTTTTATTAAGTAAGGACTTGTGTCGCTAAAGTTTCGTCGGAAAGAAGTTACGGAAAATCAATTTAACAAACGGAGACGTAACAATATAAATCAAGCTAAACACATGGTATTATTAATGTTACGTATACATCAAAGTAAAGACTAGTTATTGTCACTTCTAATAAAGTTCTATATAATTATAGATAAACTTAATTACTTTAGTGTGAAGACAAAGTAATGATAATAAAAACTAATATAATTGGTTCTTAAACGTTAGGCTTAACAGCAGCAGTACCAGTATTTGGTAATGAGTATTTATTTCCAAGTTATAAGTATAGACACAATGGTTATGACTAGTGTAGGAATTAAGCATTCACAGTTTGTTATATGTAATGGGTGCAATGAATGGGTTTTATTTGGGGACTTGGAACTGGTATGTACTTTTAGAGGAGAAATTGGAGAATATCCTAATTAAAATAGAGGAAGTAGATAAAGAGAAATGTATACTGTGGAAAATGGCAGCAAGATCTGAAGAGGAGTTTAAACATTTACACGTTAACATCAGTTAACAATGACTTAAGAAGTTAGAAAGACTACTATTAGAGCTAAAAGTAGTGAATTTTGTTATAAAAAGTAGTGGATTTGATTGTAATGAGCCTATAACTTGTCTTGGCTGTGTTTTAGTAGACTAGTATTTTATAAAATACAATCACATTTCACTTTTATACATTATATATGTATATAGATTATTGCTATTTAGATACGAGTTCTTGAAATTATTTTTCTAAAAACACAGAACAGTAAATAAAGAAGTAAAGCAAACAATTATCTCTTCTAGTTACGATCTTTATACTCTGTTGCTGCTTGATGTAGGTTGCTAAGCCTTTAAAAATCTTGCATGTGGAGGATATGAAACAAACTATTTTTTTTAGGTTTTATACATACATTTGAATAGCTAATTAAATCATAAGTTACTACATCAGTACCATAGAATTCCACTATAATTTATCGAGCTTAGTAACTAAGCTATATTTCAGTCTAGAAAAATATGAAATTTTGAGCAGACTAAAGAAACAACCTACCTCATTGAAATCTGGGTTCAAAAGAAAGAGATGGCATCCAAAGACATTAAAATGGCTGAGAAAGCTACTAGGGGGACATTCTTAGCTTCCAAATGGTTATCCACATCATGTGTAGAAGGAAGTGTACATAAGGGAGCATTTCCAAAAATGGAAAGAAGTGAGCAGAGTGCCATTGTGTTTGATTTATTACATGAGCAATATCTTAACAAATTGAAAAGATAAGACATTCTTATTTTATATTCTAGCTTCTCAATATCAGTAATTTGAGTTTCTAATTTGTAAGAAACTACAGACTTAGAATTTGGACTTCATAAATATCTACTTTGAACAAGTGCTGCATTCAACATACCACGTGACCCACAAAAATCTGTTTTTAATATTAATTTTTCAATTAAGAAATTGGGTAATATATAGTACTAAAATTTGAATTATATTCAACAGTTTGATACCAAACTTATTGATATAAATTCATGAAATTGTAGTTCAATAAAATTTTGAATGCGAGTCAACAAAAGAAATGACATGGTCTTTCACCCCTGACCCTCCTTGAAAGGATTAGATTTTATTGTCCTTTGAACCATGTCTAACTACTATCCATGCTATAAGTTGTAAATCGGGGAATGTGCAGCACAAACATTACACTATCGAATTACATTACCCACGAGCTACTTGAATGTATGCCTCGTGAAACATTTTAATTATATTATTATTATTACTTATTTTACCTAATCTAGACTTAAATAACTTAAAAAGATCAATATTTTTAGGTCTTAGTTACTTTTATAATAATAAATAAAGATTAAATATGAAAAACAAAGAAAAAAGTACTTACCTAATTTTCTTTTTTTTCTTGCTCTCGATTGTCAAGGACAATTAATCCTAATTTTTTATGCAAATGCTAGTAATGAACTTACTTTTTATTTCATTAAATAATGCATCAAAGAAGATTAACTAATAACATGCAAAAGTAGACAAATACACATAGCTCTCAAAATTTATAACTATGCTGTCACAAATTCATCCAAGCCAGTCGTTAACTTCCAACAGGAACAATGTTGCTACACTGAGTGAAATTGACTATTCTGTGTTATACAATACATCATTTCATAGATGAAAACCTTGACTTTCTATTGGTTATAGGTAATATATAATGAAATGTAAGAGAGAACTTTCAAGGAATAATGAAAGAGAAGATGTGACAGGTGGGTGTGGCAGGAGGGGTTTGATTTGCTATTCAATAGCTCTGTAACCAAAGAAAGTTGAAGGCTATAAAAATTATGGCTTGTTTGAGCAATAACCATTTTGTAGAGAGTATATTATGTTTAATTTCGTACTTTTTCAAGGGGTGGTGGGTAAAATAGGGATGATAACATGCTAAGAAAAAATGTGTCACGTGGGTCACACAAGTGGAAATATAGGGTTTTTTTTTAAATATTGCCTTGTAGAATAAAGAGCTTAAAACTTGTATACTATTAAAATGTGGATTATTAGCTAAGATTTTATGCTATACTAATTGGTATAACATAAAGAAAAAGTAGTTAAATAAAATTTTGAATGTAAGACACTAAAACCTTGAGTCATGCGCTGTAAAGGATACCCGGAGTGATTGGGCTAATACAAAGTACCAAAATTTAAATAAATAAAACACTAATTTTTAAAATAACTAAATAATGCTTAGAGATTATAAGATGTTAATTTTTCTATTTCGCTGTAATACATAAGTGTTCTTGATTAAGGTACAAATTTAGTCCCTTCCCACTGCCTACAACATTATGGCTGGTTTGAAACAATTTACACATTCCCAATACCTACAACTTTATGGCTCATTTGAAACAACTTACACATTCCCATTGCCTACAACATTACAGCTGGTTTGAAACAATTTACACATTCACACTACCTACAACATTACGGCTGGTTTGAAACAACTTACACATTCACATTACCTACAACATTACGGCTGGTTTGAAACAACTTATACATTCCCATTGCCTACAACATTACGGCTGGTTTGAAACAATTTACACATTCCCATTACCTACAACATTACGGCTGGTTTGAAACAACTTATACATTCACATTACCTACAACATTACGGCTGGTTTGAAACAACTTACACCTTCCCATTG